GTTACCTTTTAAGTGCTTGTCCTTGCAATGGTACTGATTTAAGTCCCATTACAACCGATATGTTACTTAAGGTTAAAAATGTATGTTTCAGATATATTTACCTTTATATGTATCCCTGCTACTATTCACACATGGACCAAGGCAAGAAAAGGTTCCTGAACATTCAGGGATGGACTGGATGTGTGACAGGGACTACATTTTATTAGACCAAAGCTTGATAAAGGGAAGAAATACGAAGCAAAAATCAAGGCGGTTTTGCCTCCTGAATAGAAATCTTTGACCTGACAGTTAGTTCGGACTTTGGTGAAGGTAAAGATCAAACTGTATCTGTGGCACCTGCACAGGCAAGGACATTCTTCTGGCACTGGGCTCTATAGACGTCACTGTGTAGAAGCTAACTTGCCATGATCTAATATTGTGAACAGATGGTCCAAACAGTCAAAATGATGCCGCTTGATCATGACGCACAAATAATTCTGTTTACAGGACAATAGTAAGTCAAATAGTACTCAAATACGGTCAAGTCAGCTGATTGAACATCAAGTGTGTGTGTGTGTGTGTGTGTGGGTGTGTGTGTGTGTGTGTGTGTGTGTGTGTGTGTGTGTGTGTGTGTGTGTGTGCCTTGTGTGGTGTGTGTGTTGTGTGTGTCCGGTCGTGTGGGCGTTGTGTGTGTGTGTCGTGTGTGTTCTGTGTGTGTAATGTGTGTGTGTTGGCTGTGTGTGTGTGTGTGTGTGTGTGTGTGTGGGTGTGTGTGTGTGTGTGGTGTGTGTGTGAGACTCGTTATCTGTTTCCAGGAAATCGGCCTCTGTATTTTTTGTGTTTTCTTATACTGCCCGGGCCCTGCCTGCCTGCACAGTGCAGTACGCCAATTGTGCCCTTGGCAGACAGAACACTTCTACCATTATGTGTCTTTGTGACTTTGAATCTGTCTTTCAGGGCCAGCAGAGCACATTGCTGATGAGTGTTTTGGGGCGACTACATTGTAAATACATGTGCGGGTACTGAGCAGTACGCTAAACCCCGCAGGGTGCGTCACCCTTCCCCCTCTACCACAGGCGCATCCAACAATGCTGACATCATGCTCATTAAGGTAGCGCAGGCACAATGCAGACACGTTTTCACGTCCCCATGAAAATGTATGATCTAATGTGTGGTAACATACATTTGGATATCTTTTTTGGTATTCAGCTACAGTTTGTCTCTTGTGTGCCTTGTTCCAAATATGTTACTAAACTTTTAACATGGTTCATTCAAGTTATATGAATGTCTTCTCAATCACTAGTTTATTTATTTCTGCTCTCTATCACTAATAATGTTGAGGTGGAAAACAGCAGAGACAATTTGTGATTGCTTATTAAACTATTGCTGTTTTAAACGTTCATATAACATCATATCTATTATTTCACCTGTGTATGTTACCTCTTATTGCTTTATTACTGATAATACTCAGAGTTGGAACCTATAAGTGATGTAACTCTTCTGTATCTCAGTGAAAAAAATCACAACAATTTCCGACTGCATCACAATGACTAGACGTTGCCATGATGAGAGGCCTTTTTTGTGATTCAGTAGGCAAAGCAATGTGTAACAACATATACTTTCTACAAAGTCTAAATCAATGAAAGATGCCACTTAAACATACAACATAAAACGTAATCATCTTAAGTTGACATGCTGAAATGTGGTAGCTAACCATTTCCTATTGAAACACCAGCAACACAGCTAAATGTGCCTTCTTCACACTTTTTGACAACTAGTCACTAACTTTTGTTACCTGCTGTATGTTAGTGCCGGGCAGCTTTGTACAGTGAGATTTGCTCTTTGCTGAGAACCTTTAAAAGTGGTTAATGACATCAAATATTTTTTTCTAGTTGCGGGCCCCCATGGTGTTGAACAAATAAGTGTCGCTGGCGCCTCTCCCCGGCAGGGGCACAGGAGTGATCGATGGCGTGGTGTGTCGGGTGGTCCGGGTGGGGGATACAACAATCTGGGTGTAGGCCCAGGCCCCCTTCACCCTGGAGGAACCGTCGCTGTGCCAATTGTTTCAACTGCAAGGTGTAACAGCAGCGAGTCCTTTAATGGAAACATCACAGCAAACATGATCTGTGCTGGCTACAGGACCGGAGGGAAAGATGCATGCAAGGTATGAGAAACAAATGCTTTAATACTTCCTTTCACTATGATGATTTTAAACATCTGTGAGGTAAGTGGGTGTTGCACAATCAATGTACAATCCGTCCCATTGATCTAGAGAAAAGCTATTAAATCTATTTTGAAGTAATATAATGTTTTCAAGGTTATAGCTGAGGGTTTGTCCTTTTTTTCAAATCAGCTCAGATTAGAGCCAAACCTCTCACAGTTCATAAAGTTCATCCCCATGACAAGTACAAGGACACAGTTCATCATTTAGTGTTGGTTCAGCTATAAGCTATTTATTAAAAAAGCATCCCTGAAATAGCACCAGGACTGAATACCTTGGAGTCGTTTTTGTAGCTACAGACACCTTCATGCTCAGATTTGCTTATCAGTATCATGTAAGAATGTCCCTGCCCCATGCAAAACCTTGATGTGGAGAAGAAAATTGCATGAAACGCAATGTGAGATATACCAGTGTGGCTATATTTCGCCTAAGGTAAAGAGCTGAATGACTAATGAAAATGGGCTATATTTATCCCTGCAGTAGGCAACTTTATGTGTTTGCATTTCCAAGTGGCAGCAAGAGATTATGATTTGATGAGTCTTAATGAAACCATACTAAGATATTACAGTTTGGTTTCTCACATCTGTTGATCTTTGCTTGTTTTGTGTTATGTATCGCCATGAAACATAGAAAGTTATAATTGTTGTGGAACATATTTCACATGTGGTAAACTCATGTGCAAGCACATGTGATTTCCTGATATTTGAAAACAGCAATGCTTTTCGTAATGGGTCCCGAAAATCTGACAAATCCACATATAAATTGTGGTTTGTTTCACTAAGGAGGTTTTGGTTTTGGGTTTGTTGTGTTTGTCTACAGGATTACTTAAAAAAGAGCCCAGAGCTTATTTTAAGTTTAAAATGTAGCACTGTACTCTTGAGTATCTTTCTTGATCTCTGCAGTAAGAACTTACTTTACTTGGACAGGTTATTCAAGACAAGGAAGTGGAACTCCCATCATCAAACTGGCTTTACATTGAGCTAAGATTGTTTGTGTTTTTCATGACGTAAGTTTTGACATGATAACTGAAGGTGGGTGTTGTCTTATTCTTACAGGGAGACTCTGGTGGGCCGCTGGTGTGTAGGGGGTATGTCTACGGCGTGGTCTCCTGGGGCAAACGGCTGCGGTGATCCTAAGTTTCCGGGAGTCTACTCTGCCGTGTCCAAGTTTCGCCGATGGATAGACCAAACTATTTACGGGTTACACACACGCTGTAGCAAATACTGATGAACATAATGATAAACCAACATGATGTATGTGAGAAAATGGTCATTCCCCTGAACATTTCTGTGACCAAAGGTGGTTATGTGGAAAATATGCAGAGCTATAATTTTTCTGATAATGTTTTCAATATCAATATAAAGGAGATGCATCCCATATCTGAATGATCCACCTGTGGCTGGTCTCTGACTGCTACAGAATGTATGACCCACTACAGTGAGCACTTTATAAGCCTCCTGTGTATAATACTCCAGTATTGTCAAGGTCTTTAAATACTATTTTTTTGACAATAAATAATCATATTTAGAGAATGTGTGGCTGTGTGTCAGAGTTGAGGGGTGCATGTACAGTCAACTTCAAGTCAGATTTTTGTAAATGTTTTCATTGGTGCACATTAAAGGCCCCTGAAAACCGGATTTTCCAATCTGCTGCTTTCTTTAACCAAATCTTCTGCCGAGATTACTACCGTTTTGTTTATTTGAAACACAAAATATTTATTTTGGGGTTTCGGTGCTCTACTTGTTCTACAAGTTTGGCATTTTTTTTTTTTTAAATCACACTGATGATAGTTGTGTCATTTATATTTTCCCAGGCCACTGTCACTGCCTTATGGAGAAATACCTGACGTTTTAGGTTTGGTTTGTTGATGTGTTGGTCTGTTTGTCAGCGAGATTATGGAAAAACTACTTATACACACATTGTTTTTCCCACTGTGCCCTTCTTACAGGTTTCATCTCTCTGGTCATGATTTTTTTTTGGTATTAGACTTTTTGTGTGTAAACTGTACATTGTTCCACTTTGTTTACATAACGCTCTGCAGACAACTATTTTGGTCAAGTGAATACAAATTAATGTGGATGGTAATATATCCACATGTGAAAATAGTTGTGTACCAGGAAAGAGTTGTTATTGAATTGTTCTGATATGAAGCTGATAAAACCTTGGCCTCTGTGAGTCCACAGGGATCAGGTGTGTCATGACTGCGCCTCCTCTATGAATAGTCGACTGTATATCAAAGTTAGTTCTGCTGCAGGCTCCAATATCACCTTTCATTTAATTGTATGTGAATTTGTGAAATGATATGGCTAAGTTCCTTAATGCCTGTACATGGCATCTTGTCCTTTGCTATATATCACTTTTGAAGGATTCCTTTGTGCTGCAGTTCCTAGAAGATCAATTCAAGTAAACACTACAGAGAGCAGTGGGTGGTGAGCCCAATGAGGATTAGTTTCCAACCTAAAGACAGTCCCAGGGGACTTCATTTAACAAGGAAAATCAGTTTTTACCATGTGAATATTATCAACATGTGAATCATCATCTAATCAATACAAATATACAGTGGATGGTAATTTTACCAAATGGAATATTCCATTATTTTTTAAACATCTGAATATGACGTTTTACAAAGTGATCTGAACAAGTTATTGAGTACAATTTAGAGCAACATCAAATCCAGAACGTGGAGATTGGATTTGACTCAACTAGAAATGGTGTTGTTAAAATGGAATTACGCCATGGGGCCAAAAGTCACATCTCAGCCTATGAAAACACTGCCATCCTCTGGTGAGGTTTGACTCGGTGGGCTTGATTGAAACCCCCCTGACAAAATTACTCGACAATGTTGTCAAATTGTAATACAGGTTGGAACATTTCACATCTCAATCTTGTCGAGTGGTGACGCGTGAACGACGTCAACCAAAGATCAGTATTGGTTCACATTTATGTGCCATCTCTGAATATTAAGTCGCCATTTGTTTGATGCATCAAGATCCCGGAGAGTGGAGCATTGGTTCACCACGACTCCAACTGGAAGCATCTTTGGGCTGCACCAGAAAACCCCCGTACAGCTCCCTCGCCAGGTCTCACAGGGATCCGTGTTTTGCATCGCTCCTCAATTTGCATTTCTTCCTCAGATTTTCCGTGCGACGCTCGAAACCAGCGGGCGCTCCACGGCTCTGTACGTGCGCCTCCATTTCCAAAGCAATACGCGCAGAGATAAAACACCTCTGGATATTTTTTGAATAATGTTGCCTAAGCTCACAAGAGGGGAAATTGAGGACATTTTGAGTTGACTGTTATTTCTGTTGCGTACCTACGGAGACAGACACGTGTCTTCGGGGTAAACAGAAAGGGCTAGATCGTGTCAGCAGATAGCTTTGTGTTTTTCCTTCACCACTTTTGTTTGTTATAGACGACCGGGTTGAAGCTTGGCAACGAGCTTTACATTACAGTCTGTGCGCCTTGGTGATTAAGACGCATTTGGAGATGTCGGAAGTGCTGCCTTTCAACGAAGACAAAATGAGTCATTATGGAAATGAGGGCGATGAGGGACACCTTTCCTTCACCTGTCGTCTTCAAGACACCAACAACTTCTTCAATGGATCTCAGAACAAACGTCCGCCGAAACTCGGACAAATAGGAAGGAGCAAACGGGGTAATTATATAATTAAGGCGTTTTTCGTTAGTAAGTTGATGTGTTGAATGCGCACATAGGATACTAGTGGATCATAATTAAGGATGGCTCCGTGTGAAGGCATAAAGGCAACACCTTTGCCTTGACTTTGTTCTCCAGCTTAACATCAAAGACATTACCTTTTGTTTGCATGCGTCTGGGATGTATGTGCTTTTAAATATTCTATTCGCATTGCAACACAAGTTGGATGCGCATTGCGTGCTGTTAAATGCCTTGTGAATACTGCTTAACAGAGTTGTGCTAAATGTCCCCTCCCCACTGAATGGTTGGAATGATTGAGATCCATATGGGTTGTAATCTGTGTTGTTTGTGTTTGCATGAGGCTCACAGGCTGTTCGTGTTTTGGCTTTTGTGTGTCCTGCATCTCTAATCAACCCCATGAGATGGTCCTCTAACATTGAGGCTCACTTGTGGTGGCACATGTATGCACAGGCAGTTGCACGTACAGTAGTGCACAAGCATGGACTAACATGGAAGTCATGTAATGTGCATAGGTTCACAGCAAGAACACAAGCAGAAATACAACAGTCATGACCATGCATCAGACACACTATCTTTCTTTGTTTTCTTTTTTTGGTTGCATACACACACACACACACACACACACACACACACACACACACACACACACACACACACACACACACACACACACACACACCCCACACACACACACACACACACCACACACAACACACACACACACACACAGCGCAGTGCTAAAGGTTCTGGGCTTTAATGCCATGTCGTCGGTGGTGATTTTTTTCGAGACGCCACACCAAGATGAGCCTCCCTCA